TCCTTCCTTCCTTCCTTCCTTCCTTCCTTCCTTCCTTCCTTCCTTCCTTCCTTCCTTCTGTATGGTACAATGATTAGAATGCAGTATTGCAGGCTGACACTGCCTATCACCAGGAGTTCAATCCTGACCAGTTCAAGGTTGACTCAGCCTTCTGTCCTTCCGAAGTGGGTCAAATGAGGACCCAGATTGTTGGGGGCAAGAGGCTGACTCTGTCAACCGCTTAGAGAGGGCTGTAAAAGCACTGTAAAGATAAGTCTAAGCACAAGGCACCAGGGAGTTCTGGCAAAACGCTCCGTTTGTTGATTCTCGTCCACTTCCTTGGCTCTTCCACCATGTTTTCAATTTCAGGTGATCTATCCTGCCCAAATTTTAAGCTGAAAAGTGGGCGGGGGGAGAAAAATCAAACCATTTGCTGAACTGCCCCGTCGGATCTCATCCTCAGTGAATGCTCCCGTTGGGTTTCTGTTACTTCAAAAGATTCCTTATTGGGTCGTCTTCATTCTCTTCTTTATTTTTTTATTTTATTCCTCCCCACCCACCCACGAGTCCCTTTTCCTCTTCCTTCCCTTCCCCTGTTTCTGTTTCACTCACATCCGGCTGTATCCTCTGTATATTTATATATTCTGTATTTATGTTAGCAAAATGTAGTCTTTTGTAGCTGTTCCAGTTTGTTTAACTTGTAAAAAATACCGATGATGATAAAGATCATCCTTTAATAACTCATTCTGATGCTCCCTGGCCCTTTTTTCAATTGGTTGGGTTTTTTTTTGCCATCGGCCACTAGCCTTGGTTCTGCCTTTTTAATTTAATGACTTGCCATTTCTTAAATTATTTATTAGTTGTGTTGTGTGTGTGGGGGGGGTGTCCTTTTCATGTCCACGTGGCCACAGCGGATGGTTGGATCCATTTTGACGTCTTCTCTCTCCCTGCCGTCCACGGTCGGCTCGAGCGATGTGATTCTCAAACGTCGCACATTTGATTTTCCTTACGTGGGAGTGGATGGGCGCGCGCACGGGGGCGAATGAATGGAAGGTTATACTTCAGTATATTTGTAAATAAAAGCAATCTGTAAATGAAACGGAGTATTGTTGTTGTGGTGGTGGTGCTTGTTATTCATCGCACAGTCAGCCAGATGTTCAAACTGGGTTTGGCATTTATTTATTTTTTGTCTACCCATCGAGTCACTGTCAAGGACCCGGGAGAGGCAAATCTGGATGTTTGACAGAGATCATCCCCAGGATGGAAGCTCTTCCAAGTAAAGCCGCTTCCTGCAATTGACTGGTGGCAGATTTGTCAATGCCGTCAATGTTCAAGTGGTGCTCCAGTTGTTTTCAAGGCAACTCTCAAGGCAACTGTGACTATTGGTTGCCTTTGCTACAATCGTTCTATTTCTATTTGTAGGTCATAGTATTTTTTTATTTTCTCCAGTTTTTTCTCTTCTATTCTGCTGTTTCCAGGCACTGCCACATCCTCTATTCATTCTATCTATCTATCTATCTATCTATCTATCTATCTATCTATCTATCTATCTATCTATCTATCTATCNACAACCGGTTCTCTGAACTGCTTAGAAAGTTAACAACCGGTCCTCCCAAATAG